AGAACGCACCAAAATGGGATCAAACACCAAAAATGGGAGCAGAACACACCAAAAATGGGATCAGAACGCACAAAAATGGGATCAGAAACCAAAAATGGGGTGGGAATGCCAAAAATGGGATCAGAACGCACCAAAAATGGGATCAAACACCAAAAATGGGATCAAACACCAAAAATGGGGTCAGAAAAACCAACATGGGGTCAGAATGCACCAAAAATGGGGTCAGAACGCAACAAAAATGGGGTCAGAAACACCAAAAATGGGGTCAGAACACAGTAAAATGGGATCAGAAACACCAAAAATGGGATCAGAAACACCAACGTGGAATTGGAAAGCCTCCAGCATGGGAACGGAACGCACCAAAATGGGATCAGAAACACCAACAATGGGATCAGAATGCTCCAAAATGGAACCAGAAACACCAACTACCAACGTGAGATCGGAAAGCCTCCAACATGGGAACGGAACGCACCAAAAATGGGATCAGAAACACCAAAAATGGGGTCAGAACGCACCAAAAATGGGACCAGAAACATCAACGTGGGATCAGAAAGCCTCCAAAATGGGATCAGAAACACTAACATGGGATCAGAACCCACCAAAATGGGATCAGAAACACCAAAAATGGGATCAGAAACACCAAAAATGGGATCAGAAACACCAAAATGAGATCAGAAACTCCAACATGGGATCTGAAACACCAACATGGGATCAGAACTCTCAAAAATGGGATCAGAAACACCAACATGGGATCAGAAAGCCTCCAAAATGGGATCAGAATGCTCCAAAATGGGATCAGAATGCTCCAAAATGGGATCAGAAAGCACCAACATGGGGTCAGAAACACCAACATGGGGTCAGAAACACCAAAAATGGGATCAGAACGCAACAAAAATAGGGTCAGAAACACCAAAAATGGGGTCAGAAACACCAAAATGGGATCAGAAACAGCAAAAATGGGATCAGAATGCACAAAAAATAGGATCAGAAACATCAACATGGGATCAGAAACACCAAAAATGGGATCAGAAACACCAACATGGGATCAGAAACACCAAAAATGGGATCAGAAACACCAAAAATGGGATCAGAACGCACCAAAATGAGATCAGAAACAGCAACGTGGGATCAGAAACACCAAAAATGGGATCAGAAACACCAAAAATGGGATCAGAAACACCAACATGCCCACAAAATGGGCAAAG